GACGGACTCTGGAGCCCTCCAAGCAACGAGGGTCACTCCTCGTGCTCTGTGCGTTGCTAATCATAGAATCATAGAATCCTTAAGGTTGGAAGGGACCTCTAGGGATCATCTAGTCCAACCCCCTGCTAATGGGCGAGTTAGGTTTCCTGCGTCTCCTCTGAAAAGCTCTCCCAGGGTTTCCAGGAGAACTTTTGACCCCAACAGTGTTTTTAAAGTTACAGCATTGTTATCACTCTTCCTTATTATGCTTGTACGGCTAGAGGTAACTGCACATGGATCCTCCAGCAAGGCAAGAGAGGCTCGCAATGGGAAAAAATGAAATGTTCCTTAAGCCCAGAGTTAAAAAAAAAAAAAAGAAATAAAAATGGAGGTGGGGGGCAAATGGATTTCTGCATATTCACAAAACAGGTTTATTTATCCAATTTCAGTGGCATGCCTTGCCAAAAATGTAAGTGGGTTTTGGCACAAATAAAGAAACCCAGCTCAGACAGAAATAATACTATTTAGGCTTTGACCAGCGACACCCTGTTTCTGCTACAGTAGGAGTATCCGTCCTGGGTGGGTCACGGCAGTCTCTGAATGCAATATGCCCACAACTTGGATCACATTGAGCACTTGAGGTCAATACAAAATCATTCAACACTAGGAAAAGGCGGGGAATGGGAACCAGAGGAGGGGACAGGGAAGGACAGAGTCTCCCTCCTCCCGCAAACACTGGCAGAAAGTGTCCCCAGGGCTGTGCTCTCCCTGCTTTCAGGGGCTGCCCAATCAAGCCCCCGCTCTGTCCTCTTGTAGTAAATTACTCAAACTTCTCATCCAATCATTCATATGAACCTGGTCACTACAGTTGGATACTTAATTAAGAAAATACTTGAGCATCATACGTTGAAACAAGGGCACAATCTTTCAGAAGCAACTAGGAATGGTGCACATCTCCACACGGACGTCCAGAACGCTCCAGAGTCATTAGATATTTTGCAAACTCTTGGTGGATCCGTTTTCAGCCCACAGTTCATTTCCCAGGTTGCTCTACCACCCAGCAATACAGTGACAAATAGGTTCAATTTCCAGCAACAGAAATGCTAGTAAAAATGAATTAGAATTAAAAATAAATAGTCTGAGGCAAATAACATCTTATTGTCCTATCTCACTTGGACACAAATAATGACATTTTAAAATATCAATGTCAATTGCACAAGGCAAAATATGGATTTGGGGTGGGAATTTAAAATCCCCAAAGTAATTCAAGACAATTTAACACAAGCTCTGTGGTCCAGTATTTCATATCTGAAGTTGAAGAACATTTTGGCCAAACTAGCTCTGAAAGAAACATGCTTTAAGGATATTAATGTAATCCTTTTGCTGCCTGGCAGCACAAGTTTTATTAAAGTTAGAACTTGAAGGGACATTTCATGTTAAACAGAGGTTTTACATAACCAGCCTTTGTTGAAACAGAGCTCCAATTAAACTGTATTTATGAGACTTTTATTAATGTAATACAACAAATGGCCTTTTAAGTAAGTCTTACAAGTGATATTTCTCTTAAATCACAGTTTCTGAGTGTCACAAAAAACTCTTTTACTGGGTTCTGAGGAAGCTGAACAGCTCAGCACAATGCCAAGCTGGAAACCCTGGAGCAAAACTTCAGGTTTTAAATAACTTGCTTACAGGGAAAGCACTGAAGAGGCACCTCCACCTCAGGAAGAGTTTTGTTTCTTTTTTTGAAGTGACACAGAATTTAGCCTGGAAGGGACCTCTGGGGGTCTCTGGTCCAATCCCTTCTCAGAGCAGAGGCAGCTTGGGTCAGGTTGCCCAGGGCCAGCTCCAGTGGAGCTCCGAATACCTATGAGGATGATGATATCAGTGTAAGTCTTAGCTCTAACTGATTATTTCTGGTGCCATGTCCCTCTGACTTCAACATGACTTCAGGAAAAAGGGTTTCCCTCTCCCAGGGTTTATGCAGAGCTCAGGAAGGGATATCAATCCCTCTGTGCAAAGCACCGTGCCTGCTGCTGCATTGAAAAGATGAGGTGTAAACCCCCCCCTAACAGCAAGTACAGTGGGACTATGATTTATGATTCTGCCCAGCACTGTGCTCTATTCACAATGAAGTTAATGAAAAAAAGACACTGGACAATGCTAAGAGCTTCCAAAATCCTTTGCCCTGGAAATCTGGTAGCATCTCTACATCTAGACTCCAAAATTGTGCAGATTTATGTAATGCTGGTCAGCAAACGGCCTGTTATTGCCTCCGACAATAACCACAGCCCATGGAGGCACGAGACACAACTGCCCCCAAGTCCTGCTGCTTGTGAGTGTGCAACAGTTCGTGGCACAGGGTTCGTTTGAAAGTCTTCCTTCCTTGCTCTCTTGGCCTTCTGGCCAGCAGCAACAAGCAGCAGTGGGAAAGAGAAGAAGCAGAGTCCAACTCTGGGACTACAAAAAGGAACATGAATCCCCAGCTGATGTTTTGAATTATTTCTTGTTACCTAACCACCCAGGACACGACACTGCTGACATCATCCATTTGAGGCTCTAAAAGTATTACTGCAAACAAGAAAAAATGCATTAACCTCTTGTCAGAGGGGAGAAACCTTGGGTAAAAAACACAACTCCTGACCAGAGTGAGGCTGGGAATCACCTCCAAAACAAAAGGTTCTGATGCTGAAACCAAGCTCACAATCTCAGTTACACTGGTCCAGACCTTGAGCACCTGCCCCACTGGAAGCCTAAATGCACTTACATTCATGTGAGTAAAAGAACAGACAAGCTTAGCTTCGGTATTAATCATCAGTCACACTGTCCCCTCTTATCTACAGTATATATATGGAGCATATATATGAGAGAAACCATGTGGTCATCACCAAGGGAGTTGGAAGAGCAGAGAACAGTAATTTGCAAAGCAAGTTTGCAGGAATATATATTATTATATACCTTAGATATAGATTTTTATACATGTATGTATATAAAAGTGACGCTTTTTGTTCACGCGGACCTTCCAATTGGCTTCAGAAAACCTTAGTGTGAAAAATCCTCTGCTTAGTCCTGCCAGCCCAAGTGAAGCGGTGCAAAGGGTCTCTCTGACACATTTACCTCCCTGTCCACGCGCCCGGCCCTGCTCTCCCCGCCAGACTACCCTAGCACTGCCAGCGCTGCGATGGGTGCCTGGTCGCTGTGGGTGAGCGGAGGCCAAACACACAAGGGGAAGGCAACACCTTGGACTGCAAGAGGAAGGGCTTCCTTGCAAGGGCTTCCTTCCTCAGTCAAAAAGGAAGAGGATTTGGCCCCCAAAGGCACAAGCAACTGAGCAGGGCTACATCACTCTGAACTCCACCATCACCCCCTACGTTACATGGAGCATGGAGATACTACCATTTGAAGCCGCCACACAGGTAGCTTTACAATCAGGCCAGCACCACCAACAGCAGCAGTGGCACTCCTACAGGCTCCAGGGCTAGCTACAAGCTCTGCTGTGGGGTCCTGGCTGGGCTTGTTTGACAAGGCCTACAGTGACACACGGGTTACCTTGAGTTTCCTCTAGTGTTATTAGTCTGGAAAGGAAACACTCAGAAACATCGAAAAAAAGCTATCAATGAAAACCACAGAATCCCTTGCTGGAAACTCAGGGGCATATGAAGTGACAAATAATTGTTAACATATGCTGAAAATTTAACTAGAACAGTAGGTAGCTGCATCCTGAAGCCCTATATAATTACATTTTGCAAAGATTGATTTGAATGTTCAAGCTTTGCTGAGCCACAGCCTTGCAAATCATTACCAGAATTTGAAGTACAGTATCAAAAGGAATTGCAAAATACGTTTTTTTTTAAGCCAAAAGAATGCTTAGATGTCCACTCAAGTTAGCTCACAAATATTGGCATTATCATCAACACTAAGTATCCCTGATTTATTTGTTTTTCCCTCATTCCCACAAATAGTCAGCCTGGCACATAAAAAGAAGGACTGCACAGAAATAAGCAACAAGAAAACAAAATATGCCACACAAAAGACTTACTTGAGAGCTGGGACCATTATAAGCATATACTCAAAGTAAATCAGATATACAGGTATAAAGTGAATATCAGCATCAGCTAGGCTATAGTACAAGGCCCAACTTGGTGAGTGATTGGTGGTAGGAAAGATTGTAAATATAAGAATATAAAATAAAAACAAGTCTGTGAGATGTTTATGAGTCCTTCCAAATGTTTACAAAATTTATTGCCACAGAAAAGAGGGAGAAAAAGATGAAAAGAGAAAGGATGATCCCTTCAGTTGAATCCACCTGTTTTAATTTGCGTATAAACTTCGTAGGGTAGAGTTCATCATTTTATTCTCTGTCTACACAGTACAACAGAGGTCCAGGACACAGATAAAGCTTCTGAGAAATGCTACATTAGAAATAAATAGCAATAATCCACTTAATCTCTGCTAAATGCAGCCCAGAAGGGAATGCAAGTGAGATTATCAATTGGCAGCACATATTAAGTAGAGCTTCAGTTACAGTTCACAGACAGAGACTCTTGCTCTTCCCCGAAAAGTCTCTTGGCTTCAACAGAACAAGTAACAACTTGAAGAATTTGATCATAAGCTATTAAAAAAATTTAGTTACAAAAGGAGGGGAAAGAAAAGTGTGTTACTACGCAAGCACGGCAAGAGACTTCTCATCAGTTCCAACAAAAGCATTTGGAAGAGTGGAAAACAATCTATCGAGAGAGAGAGAGAGAGTAATAATAATAAAAACATTGCCACATAACTTGGAGGACACAGGAGCTCCTACTCCCCGTGATACTGCTCTGCTGTAGCACAGTAACAGAGAGACAGCAGAAGCTGCAGCTGATCATATCACCAGTTAAGCTTGTCGAACACTGTTAATGCAAAGGAGGGCTGGGTCAGATCACCCTGGCCCGACGACGTGTTCTGCGTCCATCTGTAACAGTACACGACAGACACAAACCAAATGTCAAGGGACAGAGTAAAAACATCACCAAAACCACACTTACAGCAACCAATGTTTCAGGAGCCACATTCACTCCCTTCACATCTTCTTCCTCTGGCTCTTCATTTTCTTTATTGTCAGTGCAAGAGACAGTATCTTGGACTGAGCAAGTGCTAAGCAAGTCTGGCAAGCTGGTAGATGGGTACTTCAGAAAATCCTCTTCAGCAGATTCCTACCAGAGACACAACAAAATAGGTTACATGACATGCAGAGATTCACTGACATCTAGGCAAAAGTGTTCTGTTTCCCTTGCTCAGTGAGAGCTTCCTGATAAACCTCCCCCAGTTCCCTATTTCCACATGCTCGTAATGTTTCAGTTATAAAGAGCAGTACTGATTTTAAAGTGTATATATAGTAAATATAGGCCAATATATTTTCTAAAACATTTAAGATTTTATAGGAGAGAATTTAGAATGAATGCTTCTCCAGCAGCCTGCTCCTCCATGCCCTGAGTTTATTAGGTGTCATTGCAAGAAGACTCAGAGTTTAGAGAATCCAAAAAAAAAATTCCTGCTCTCTCCCTGTAGATACTCTTTTTCACACATATTCTATCTACATGCATATGAATAATAAGCTGATAGCACTACATTAGCAGAACAAAATGAAAACTGACCCACCAATCCTCTATGTAATCTGTCCTGAATGCTTAAGGATCCAACTCCATTCTTTGGCATGTTTTCTAGTAGGTAAACACAAGCATAAACTCAATGCAGTGGTGAGACACAGTCTCATTTTATTGCTTTCAGAACAGATCCTGTGTTCAGAGCACTCCCCAGGCCAAAGGGCAAGGCCGTTTTCCCATGCTAACAAATAATATCCAAAAGGATGTGCAGGAGAACACTTCACCTATTTACATCTTTCCTCAAACTGCTTGACACAAGGCAAAGATTAGATCCTCAGTTGTTTGGGTTACCAAGTTCTCCTCCTAGTGACATGAATATTGTCCAAGTACACAGAGCATGGGCCAAAAGATTCAAAGCTTGATCAGAACCATGAAGAGCTTTATGCTGCAAGCTGATTCATGATTATTTTGATGCAGTTATTACATGAGCAAGGAAATGGTTTTAGGAAGAAATTTATGCAGGCTACTCTCCTCCGTTTTTGGAAGAAGCCCCGTTGTCTAACCAAAGTACAAAATGTACCTACTTCAGTTCAGTGTCCTGTTTTCAGAAGAAACACTGGCAGGGCTAATAACGCATCATGAGCCTACAGGAGGTCTCCAATGAACCTCACTAACAAAATGTTAGAGAAGATGTAGGCTCTTTGCTTTGAATATCATCAGACAAAGTCTCTGCTAGACAAACAAGAGCATAGAGCATTATGGGAAGCTGTAAGAACATCCATAAACTAAGCCCATATTAAAGCTCCTTCAGGCTAGGGCAAACTAAAGGTGAAGCTTAAAAAAATAAATGCATGAAGTCCTGCACTGGGAAGTCCTGACATCATCCAAATTTTGTATCTCTCCCCATTCTAAAGCTCCATCCCTGGCATATGAGGAACTCCAGCCACGATTAGGCTTGGCAGCCCAATAAAAACTTGCATCAAGTCAAGAGAAGGAGCAGCAAACTCTGCTCTGGGAAAAAAGAGCGAACTTGGGTGGGCAGGCATTTCTTAAAGCAAAAATATTGTGCAATATCCCTCCAATCTCTCCTGCGATGAAAGAAAACTAAGAGCCCTAATGATAAATGAGTTCCACTCTCATTTCCCTGAAATTTCATGCTACTTTATCTGCAAGAACTTCAATCCAAGCTATTAATGGGGACAAATTAAGGAATTCAAACTAACAGATCATCATCAAGAGGCCTCAAGCACACAGCTATAACAAGAGGTAAGAGCTACAGAGGCTACACGAATCTGAAGAGGCTGAGAACAGCCTGCTCTATTTAGCAGGCTACATATATTTTAAGAAAATGTTTTTGGCCAGAATTTAAGTAATCTCTGCATGAATAAATACAGATTCATTTGCACACAGAACTACTGCGACAATACAAGCAAATGACTAACTTGGCCTACATCTTGCTGATTTGCCACGGATCTACTGCAGCTACTGACACATTTTTCAATAGCGGTGCGTTAAACTTAGCGAAGCAAACGCGTGCGTGTAGCCTCGTGTCACAGCTATTAAAAATCTGCCCTTTCTATACAGCGCATGCACAACCACTTTTAAATGGCTATTCAGGGGAAAATCAAGGACAAGCACAGAGGATTTAGGGAACGTACCTTGCTAGCTACCACCAGCTGCACCAGGCCAGCTGCAGAGCGAAGAAGGGCCACAGCCTCCTGGTGCGAAAGCCCAACCAAGGACTGCCCGTTGATCATGAGGAGCTCGTCGCCTGATGTCAATCTGCCGTCCCTATGGAAACAAGGCAGGAACGCTGAGCTACAGAAAAGGATCTTCTGCTGAGGCTGTACTCAGACAGTGTATGTTCATGTGCAGAGACATGCAAAAAATGTGACTTGGAGTGGAAGCTGAACTCAAATCACTTTTTGGCCATGGTATTTGCCCTAAGGATGGAAAGCAGAAGGATCAGAGAAAGGTGCTTAGAGGGGGCTCCACAGCAAATCACTTAGAAATGTGTTATAAACAGAGCTGTTTCCCCTTCTAGCTGGGAACACGTTCCTCTCACACCTTCCCCAGGTGCCCTCACTCTTTCTCTCAGGCCCTGTGGGTTAGGTTACTTGCCAGGCTCTGTCACCAAGTAGTTGGGGGCAGCAAGGCAACCGTAGTCAGCCAGGGGGCTATTGTACTACCCTTCAGAGAAATCACTACACTCGTATAATGAAAGTATCTGTTTGATCTTTCTATACGTTGGATTAAATATGCTGGAAGGGGACTCCGTGACCAATCACAAAAACAAGCTTTTACCTTAAAAGTCCCACAGTCTCTTCCCCTAACACGGTCAATGGTTTCTAAAGCTGCAGGACTAATTTCCACATTTTGTCACTTGAGTTCAGCTAACCATGATGGCAATGGGTGGTTAATCACACACACATCATCTTGGCAAAGGAACTAGTGTCACCTCACCTGTGTGCGGGGCCTCCTTCCTCCACGTGGGTGACGATGATGCTGTGAGGGGATCGCTTCGACCCTCTGCCTCCTGTTATCTGGATTCCCAGCCCGTCTATCCCCTTCAGTATGTGCATCTTCCATATCCGGCAACCTTCTCGCTGGGAGAAAAGGTGCAGAGTCCTTGAATTTGCATTTGGACAGTAAAAAAGTGTCCTGAAAATGCCTACTGGTTTAGGACAGAGGTGCAGGGGTGCAGGTGGGGGCTGCAAGGCTACAGCAGGGAGCTATTTGCAGGCTGAGAGCCTTCCTGCCCGTCACCAGGCACCTGCACAGCACGAGCTACAGAGCCCTGCCGAGCAAGTTGCTGTTGTTATCTGTGGTCCGAGTGAAGGAGGCAGAAAGGAGGAGGCAGCACAGGTTAGGTCAGCAGGCGCAGGTTTCCTTGCAGGGCTGCTTGCAGCTTCTCTGAGCTACGCAGAACCTCCGCTCACTACACTCTGATCCTTCCAGCAGCAACCAGCGCCTCCAACTTGCCCAAATTCCCGTGAGAGGAAAGTCAGAGATCTGCAGCAGCCGTGTAAACAGGTGGCAGAAGAGCAAAAGGCCGTTCAAGAGGGACCTCAGACACCAAGGAAATGCTGCTGCCTCTGCAGCGGAGACTCAACCCGCGTCATCCAGCAGCAATGACCTCGTAAGAGAAGCTTGCAGTATTTGAGACATAGGAAAGAAAATACCAAACACCCATCACATATTCCCCTATTGCACCAATTAGAAATAATAAAACCACACAGTAACTTTTAAATAGAAAAAAGGTAATATTTTGCATTTAGGATACCTTTATTTTTATTTATTTAAATTGATCATAAATATTCTCCCCAAAAGCATTTTACAAACTTTAAAGCAATACAAAATACAGAACTAAAGTAGCTTTGAGCATAGGCTGGAAAGATAGGCCCAAAGAAACACAAGAGTAGCAGATGTTAGCAGAACAAAAAAGGGGAAGAGAAGAAGAAGCAAGCAAGCAAGCTGTTTTAGGCAATTGCTAGGACTCTCTCAGTGAGAAGGGAAGAATCAGGGTAGCAAAATTATGAGAAAATCTCAGAAGTTTTCAAGCTTGGAAGACACAGGAAAAAACACAATTAGGGTATCTTTTTTTAGGCCACTTGCTGAAGTCACTCAACACAGGTTCATCTCTCTGGGCATCCATTTCTGACCGGTTCTGTTCTGTACACAAGGGATGCTCTTGCAGCACACAAATGCCCAAGGAGTGACGCTGATTAAAATTTCATGCCAAACTGTGAAGGGCATGTACAAATCACTGCTTGGTTCTAAGAAGTGGAATTGCTAAGTATACCAGGGAACCTAAGGTTTGTGACAACTTGCAGACTATAAGCCATTTCTTTTTTCTTTCATCAGAGCCTTTATTAACTGCAAAAAATGTGATTTTTTTTTATACATGATCACCAGGACCCTGTGCTGAGACATTTAAATACAAAGTGCCAGATGAGCCTTTCAGATACAGGAACAAAGAGGACAGTATTTACATCAATATCTAAGAGCAAAGTAGTAAATAACAGACTGACGTTATACAGCCCCTACAGCCCCCCCGAAGGTATGAGAAACAGGAAAAAGAAACCCAGCATCTTCAAGGGTAACCCAAAAGTTTGGTCCTGAAAACATATACACCTGTGGGTAATTTGTTAACTTGAAAGTCAAGCAGATGAGCAATATCGCAACAGGTTTAACTGGGATCCTAAACACACTGACAAAAACAGTCTCCTGTTGATTAACAGGGCATGTTAGGACAGAGAATGCCTTGAGATAAATTAGACTGATACATGAAACACCTTGTTAAATGCAGGGACAGGAGTCAACTATATTTATCTACACATAAAGCAGAACTCAGCTACAGCACGAGAGCACTCCAAAGAGACTTAATTGCTATAAAGTGCCTTGCACTCCTAGTAGAAGTAGTATAACAGAGAAATAAAGTCCCTCCCTCCTCCAAATGAGGACCAGGACAAAATGATGGCAAACCGGTCTCCTCACAAGGTGCAGTAGTGTAGTTTTGAAGCACACCCTCTACTACAGCCTAGCAATGTGGTCATCAAATTGTGCTTAACGAAGTGCTAAATTCTGTGGAATGAGTTATGCCAAAGCCCACAACGTGCAGTGCCCACTCGTTCTTCAAACTGCATAGGGAAAAAAGCAAAAAGCAAACAAAAAACAAAGCTATTCTTAACTGACCCACATTCAAATATTCATTTACCTACCAAAACACTCAACAGCAGCAAATTCCAAGACTCTGCTGCTCTTAACACAAGGAACATTTTATTCCCCTTGAGGTCCCATCAAAATCAAAAGCACTTGCAAAATGAGGCATTTGTTAGTGGCGGAATTCAGCCACACTAAAGGCAGCAAAATAATCCGGCACATGCCAAAATATGTATTTCATTCATATCTTTCAGTTTTAAGATGACATACTCACATATTGTTTAAAGAAAGAGAAAAGGCTGTGGCTCGAGCTCCCACTGGTTATCTATATGCATTTCCCTGGAATAAGCAATTCAGCCTTGCCTCGAAATCAGATCACTTCACTGTTTTTTCCCTCACCGTGATAAAACATTCATAGCTACTTATTTAAGCATACTGGTGCCATTACAAAGCAAGCTACCTCCCCGTCCTCAATACACACATACCCTTGAGGCACCTCACTCCAAGTTCTTGGAGACAAACACTTTTAAAAGCAGCTTTCTCATCGCTGCTGGGTGTTTCTTGGAGGAAGGCGGGTGCCAGGCAGAACCCCCATCCCTCCACACAGGGGAGCAACCTCACTCGCACTCAGCACAATAGGATGTTTCACAGCCACCCAGGAACCCTGCTGCTCTGAGCATGTATCTTCTGCGGCTCCATCACAGTAAAGCCTTAACAGTAACACTCTAGTGCAAGGATTTGTCAATGCATTTAATTTTTAATTGAAATCCAGCTTCCTTGAGTTACTGGAAATTCCCAGCTTCAGCAGCACGAACACTTACAAATAAATAAATAGAGTGACTCATTTTATGTCTTTAATTTAAGAAAATTTTATATGGATCATATTTTCAAAGCTTTCCAAAGGGACTTACAAGCTTACTTAGCCTTTAAATTAAAACTGGGATCCTGATGTATTCACGCAGCCCCGGAGACTTTTAATACATTGGGGAAACTCCAAATGTAGTTAGAACTGGCAGTTTGCAGGTCTGATGTCACTGTTCCCAGAGCTGGCCTAATCCCTGCTCCAAGCAGGATGACTTTAAATACTGGACACTCTCCTCTGATGGGCTGCACAATTCTGGTTGCTACTTGGCTGCAGTTTCATATCCCTATTAACGGCTGATTTTTCCATCCACTCTGAATATTTTTTGTAACTTCATTTCTAAACAACGCCATAAATCTGCACACAGGCCCCAAAGGCTCCCTCTGGAAAAGCATTTCCTGCCCATGGCAAAGAGGCAGGCCAATGACTGCCTGGCCAGGTATTTCAAGATCCAGGCAGCCAGGGTGAGGACAGAGAGACAAAGCAGCTGCTGCAGCCCAGGTCTAGGCAGGTGACCCCTTCAGAGCTCTACTCTGGCCCTCCTCAAGAACGAGGAAACCAGCCCACATCTGCCCTTAACTGGCAGCAGGTCACAACAAGGACACTTGACCATGATGAGAGACGGTAAATGAAGAAGGGATCATTTGTGCCTCACCAGCCATTAAGCTTCAAGCAATTCACTGAGATGTGGCCAAGATGCACCCTGAGAAAGATATCCAGGCTTGCTCTGAGAAGGCAAAAGGAATGAGAAGTCAAAAATTGTTTCCCAGTTAGAGATTTGTTCCCCAGTTGAACATTCACGTTACCCATAAGAGACTTTTAACTCTGCTCAGATCTATGACACTGGACTTTGCTTATCTCCAAAATAGTATCAGAGCTGCCTGCAACAAGGGGCTGCAGATTCCCCTGGTGGGAGGGTCACGTAGACACAGTGTGCAATAATTTGTCTGAAGTGGTCTCAGAGAAGGAGATGAGACTGGATGACCTCTTGGGGTCTTGGTTTGTATCCAGATGTACATTGCTGACGTCCTCCAGCGCTTCCACAGCGAGAGCAAACACAAACAGCCAAGTAAGTGCGGCGGCAGTTGGAGCAGGTATTTCTCTCTGGCTACATCATCCTTACGTGACTCAACCATTTTCCTAACTTGGCTCTTTCAAGCAGGCAGCATTTTGGATCAGATTTTTCCACTTGCAGATGATAAACTTCAAAGTGCCTAAGTTGCAAATAATTAAAATGCTTTTAAGACAGCATGAATATTCTACTTGGATTAATCACAGGCGAAAAAAAATGGGTCATCTTATGTAACCGACCACAAGCGAGAACAGAGAACACAGTTGGTCGCTGCAAATGCGGTCCCTGCAGACCGTCTTTCTTCACCGTGCAACTATTGCCCACCAGGCAGCCTCTGCTCAGAGAGAGTCCACATCTGGAAGGAGCTGAAGCGCTGCAGCTCAGAGGGGAAAGGCGCTGCCAGCGCCGCACAGGGAGGCCGACTCCGAGCGCACACCATCAAACGCTCCATTTCATAAGCACATCATTAATAAAACAAAAAGGACCATTTTTCCTCTAAGTATGTAAAAAATAAATAAATATGTCAGAACCAATTTCTCCCCCCGCCTTCTTTTACCAGCTAATTGCAGGGGAGTTTAAAGCGGCTTGACTGATTCTTGATGGCCTGTTGTTCAAGAAGCTGCAAATCTGTATATTCACAAAGGAAAAATTGCTTTGAAATCTTATATTAGAGAAATGCTTGGCAGGAGCAAGGTGTAAACAAATGGAAAACAGAAACACGCTAAGTAGTTAAAAAGCCAGACAGGAGAAGGGAAAATGTAAAATAGTTGTCTACAAAAAGCAGTTTCTGTCACAGCAGCAACTCAACAGTGCCTTTTGTTTTTTTTTTGTTTTTTGTTTTTTTAAAAAAAAAGGAAAAGAAAAAAAAGCAATAAGTTTTGAATAAACCCAGCGATATGCACCGATGAAAACACCCACAATCATGTGCCATCATGTGGTACCTGCATCCCCACATGGACTGGGGCAGGCCCTAACACAGAAGGCAGGCCACCTCGGGTGGCATTTTCACC